TGGGGACACTGGGGACACTGGGGACATTGGGGACACTGGGGACAACGGGAGTGCAACCACCGCTGCTACACCATCCGCAACACTGGGTACACCTGGGGACACCTTGGGGACAATGGGGACAGCTGGGGACACAAGGGGACAGAGCCTCCAGCTGTGCCAGGGGAGGCTCAGGGGGGAAATTTGGGAAAATTCTTCCTAAAAATAGGAAAAGGCCCTGAAGAGCTGCCCGGGGCAGTTCAGAGCCACCACCTGGAGGTGTCCCTGGAGGTGGCACTTGGTGACAAGGGTGGGGACCAGTCCCAAAGCCACTCCCCACCCTAACCCAGGGTTTTGTGCCCCTCCCTCCTCAGCTGGGTTCCATCAGGGTTACCTGGAGGTGGCACTTGGTGACAGAGCAGGGACCAGTCCCAAAGCCACTCCCCACCCTAACCTAAAGATTTCGGGTTCTTCCCTCCCAGCCGGGTTCCAGCAGGTGTCCCTGGAGGTGACAATGCAGGGACCAGTCCCAAAGCCACTCCCCGCCCTAACCCAGGGATTTGTGTCCCCCCTCCCAGCCGGGTTCCAGCAGGTGTACCTGGAGCCGCTGCTCAAGTTCCACGAGAGCCTGCGGCGCCTGCGGCTGCACGAGGCCGAGTACGCGCTGCTCCAGGCCATGCTGCTCTTCTCACCAGGTAAGCCCCACCTTGGCGGGGACACCCCAATGTCCCCAAAGCCCCGCTGAGGTCACCCCGTGTCCCCTCAGACCACGCTGGCATCGCCCAGCGCGAGGCCATCGACCAGTTCCAGGAGAAGGTGGCGCTGACCCTCAAGAGCTACATCGACCACCAGCACCCCCCCGAGGAGGGCAGGTGAGCTTTGGGACGGGGTGGCATTGTCCCCAAGGGGATGGGGACGGCCACCAGAGCGGGCTGGGTGTCCCCCAAGGTTCCTGTACGCCAAGCTGCTGCTGCTGCTGACGGAGCTGCAGACGCTGAAGGTGGAGAACACGCGGCAGATCCTGCACATCCAGGACCTGTCGGCCATGACGCCGCTGCTCTCCGAGATCATCAGCTGAGCACGGTCCCCCGTGTCACCCTCCTGTCCCCAAGTGTCACCCCCAGCTGCCTCCAGGCACAGAGTAAAGCTCCTTTATTTATCCTGGCTCCCGGGCGTGTCACCGCGGGGAAACTGAGGCACGGC